CACACACGTGCGCGCGCGCGCGCATAAAAATATATATTATAAATAGATATTAAATTTTAGTGGTCGTGTTTTTMTTAATTATTACAATAGTACAATAATCTCTCGGAACGAATWATAACCATGATAATGATATCAATAATATTATAAATACACAAACAACACGAATTTATACAATGGGTATACAATTAATCGTAATATCGTATTAATATTGTAATTRTTTAATAGATTTCTACACATCTACACCTGTTGTTGTACCGCATTTAATACCGCTCGCGAATCGGTAACCATCTGCGGGTTTTCACAATCACTTTGTCTGCGTGTGTGTGCGTGTGCGGACATCGAGTTTCGGACGGACGCGATTAGTACACCCGGTTTGTCGAGCGCGTCGACACTCGACACAGKCCCGCGCGTCGATCGTCGTGTAGTACGTTATTGTGATATTATTGTTATAATTTTTTGAATTAAAATTGACGAAACGCCGTAAGCCGGCCAGCAGTCACCACTCGCCATCACATACGTCCAGTCCGCAGTGTGCGTGTGTGGTGCAAATAATAATATCTATAKTTTATAGTAATATATAGTTGATAATAACACAACGGTAATCAGTTATCGACAATATTATTTGTATAATATAACATAATATTATCGTACGACCAACGCGACTCGGACTCGGACGATATCATATTATACGGTTTAGTATAATCATAATATTTAAAATTTAAACCGTTCGCGTGCCTGTGTGCGTGTGTTTTTTCCCCACAAATCGATTCGTCGTTTCCAGCGCACGATCCATCCGTTGTAGCGACATCGTCATCGCCGAGAACACAATAGTGTGATTATCGTGTCACAATAACGAAACGATTTTTGGTGGTCCATCTTCGCGCCACACATCATAGATCTTCGCCCCGACCGGAACGACCACTTCCTCCAAACCCTTGAGGACACCCGGACGCCGTYGCCATGAAGTTCACACTCTCCGAATGGATAATATTGGCCGTGGTCGGATCCGTGCACTTTTGTTGCGCCATTTGTATATCGTTGCAGGCACCATTTTATCCTGAAGAAGTGAGTAAAACTGCACTGCAGCACCAAAAACCCCATAGTTACCAGCCCATGACCGATAATCCGTTGTGCATACGATTCCTAAAGCTAAAGAACGTTACTAATCACACTGGCACTTATCGCACAGCAAAATTTCCTAACATACGATTCTGTCAAACGTCATCGATATTGTTAAGTCACACGCTTCGTGTAATATTATGTTAGAATAGATATTAAAAAATAAACACACCTTTTGTGTGAGTTTCTTGTATAATGACACTGCTTCAGCACTCGAATAAAATAGTCGGTGGCCGTTTGGGTAATAATTTTTACCAAAAATTAATAGTTTGTTTGGACGAGTATCAATAGTACCGTTTGGGCGAGTAGAATTATTTTTACCTGTTCAAGGTAAAAACCTAAATACTGATGATATCGTTTCTAATCATTAGCTATATAATATATAAATTCACTTTATTGAAATGTGAATTGATTAATAACAATAGAATAATAATAAAAAAAAGAATAATAATATCGCGTTACTCGTATAGTCGTATTATGTAAAGAGTGTAACATTTAAGTGTCTTAAATAAATAAATAAAAATATTATGACTTGGAATAATTATGATTATTGATCTATAAATATGCATGTGTATATGTACAATTATTTCAAGTTTAAACTTTATATTGAGAAAATATTATGACATTTTTATATTTTTTACTGTGAGATAAGAATATTAATTATTTATGAATAAATAACTTTTAATTTATTATTATAATATAATACAYCATATATTATTAAATTATACTGTTTTTTGATTGTTGAGAACTTACAACATTTTTCAATGTCTTAAAAATAATACGGCCCTCGCCCAAACGGTAGTTTTAATTGAATAAACCGTCTCTTAGATGGCATATTATATGCATTCGCCCAAACTGTTTACGACCAATAAAATATACTCTTTGGGCTACTATAATAAAGAATACGATATCGGATGAAACTATATTATTGTTTTGTGCTCTCACACGTTTAACATCTAACCACAGCTGCTCTAAAATAATAAGTATTTAATTGTGGTGATCGTGTTATATATAGGTAGACACAGTGTTTTATTACCGTTTTTGTTATTTCAATTTAATTTGGTAATGGGYTTAAATTTAAAAACAGTGAATACAATTTTCCTTTAAATTTAAATTCCTTTAAAAATAAACCTATAATACAATAAATACCTATTCAAATTTAAAATACTGATGGCTCTAAATTTGTTAAAATTGGAAAGAAAATCCCATCGTTAAAACGATCTCGAACTAATCTCGCCCATACGGCAAATGGCAAATTGTAAAACTTCGTCCAAATGGTATACAAAAATTGGCTCAAATGGAAGGTAACTGATTTAAGGCCCAAACGGAAAACGCTCATATTAGGATAATTAGAATAGATATTATTAAGTCTTGTGTTATATTATAATATTCCGTTTTTTTTTCTCGCAATTATCTACCTGTTGCTGTAAATGTCATAGATAATATATAAATGGATAGAACATCCCTATACCTATTATACACGGTATGCTGTGAGTGAAGAGTCTACTCGTTACCATATTGGTTATATGCGGTTACAGATACTGGTTTATGATAAATAACATTTTTTTCAATCTGATTTGTGCCAATTTTTGAATCAATACAATTATTAATTTCATCTTAATTCATTATTTATTTATTTATTAATATTATTTATTTAAAATACTCATAGAGACCAGTAAG